GTCATCACAGCATGACATCAACCGACACACAACGAGACATAACGCACCCACACATCGAACACTCATTCACACCACACTCGCCCCACACACACCAGCAAGACCACACACACCAGCCGACAACACACCACCACACGACAGCACAGACAGACACAGACAGACAGACAGAGACAGAGGCAGGGAGAACAAGGGCTGCAGGATTCAGTCGAAGGACCGGTGCTTCTGCGTGCTTGCGGGATCCCTGGCACAGTGCCAATCCGTGCACCGCGGGCGGGCGGGCGGGCGGGCAGGCGGGGGTAGTCGCGGTTCATCAGCGGAGATCGCTGGCACGCCTCGGGTTCCTCTCGGCTTCGGCTGGGCTCGGCTCGTCCTGTAGTGCTGCTATTTCCCCTACTACTACTCTACTACTATTTTTTACTACTACTTTTTTTACTTACTATTCACTATACTACTACTACTATACTACTACTACTACCTACTACTACTACTACTACTACTACTTTTTACTACTACTGCATCTACTTTACTACTACTATTCAGTACTCACTACTATTTTCACTATTATTATTTTTACTACATCTATTTTTACTATTACTATTAGCAATACAACTTATTATTTTTACTACTGCTACTTATTTTTGCTATTAATATTTTAATATTACCATGCCTATTAACTACTCACTACCACCACTTACCATTACCATTACCATTACTACTACTACTACGACTACGACTACGACTACTCTGTTACTACTACTACTGCTACTTCAACTACTGCTACTACTTAACTTCTACTCATATTACGGCTAAAGCTACAAATATTAATGTGAATGTTGGCTGCGATTGCTGTTGGAGTTTTTGGTCGCTACCATATGTACTTTTACCACAGCGAGTACTTTTACCATCACTGGCGCTACCACTTCTGTCACCGCGTTCATTAATCCGTTGTTGTTGATGTTACTTTTGCAGTAGTTAGATTTATGTTAATTATTTTTTCTATTAATGGTCTGACCTTTGAACACACCACACACAACACACACACACCAACAAACACACACACACGAGAGAGAGAGAGAGAGAGAGAGAGAGAAGAGAGAGAGGAGAGAGAGAGAGAGAGAAGAGAGAGAGAGAGAGAGAGAGAGAGAGAGAAGAGACAGACAGACAGACAGACAGACAGACAGACAGACACAGACACACAGAGACACAGAGAGACAGAGAAAGTTAAAAGGGATTGGAGAGAAAGATAACGAGGGTTAGGATATATGTTAGGCGAAGGGAGCGAGAGAGGGGAGAGAGAAAGAGAAGAAAAGGGAGTGGAGGAGGAGGAGAATGACTCACTCTCAACGCATAAAAAACACACACACACAACCCACACACAACACACACACACACACAACACACACACACCACACACACACCACACACACACACACACACAAACACCAACACACAAACACCCCCCAGGAGAGAGAGAAGAGAGAGAGAGAGAGAGAGAGAAAGAGAGAGAGGAGAGAAGAGAGAGAGGAGAGAGAGAGAGAGAGAGAGAGAAGAGAGACAGACCAGACAGACACAGAGGACACAGAGACAACAGAGAGACAGAGAAAAAGTTTAAAAGGGATTGGGAGAGAAAGATAACGAGGGTTAGGATATATGTATAGGGAAGGG